TGTATGTATACATGTGCGTGTGTGCATGCCTGTGTCTGTGATGTATGTGTATGTGCATGTCTGTGCATGTGTGTGTGTACACGTGTGTGTGTACCTGTCTCTGCTCTCCCGACCTTGTCTCCTCAGCCCTGAGCGTTTCCTCTTCCCCCTGTGCTGGGCTACTGCCTCCCTTCTCCCTCCCCCAGGCTCTCCCACCGCCAGCCTAGTGCACGTGCTCCCCTGGCATTGCCCACTTCATGGCTTCAGGACCAATGGCTCAGGAGGGGGAGATCAGTTCCTGACTCTCCCCGGGAATGGGCATCTCGTAAGGTGAAGAGCGGTGCCTCTCACCTCCCTGTTGTGCCTAGCACAGCAGTGGACCTAAGTGCATGTCATCAACTGTTGAAGAGATGAATCTCATTGCCAGTTGAAAAGAAGTTAGGAGAGAAGGGGGGAAGTGGAAGGGAATGAATGATAAAATGTGGGGAAGCACTTGCCAGAGGTAAAAATGAAGTTATGTGCGTTTAGGGGAATTATGGACGTTTTTCACGCCATAGCCTCTGGTGAGCCCCGTGCTAACACCAGGGGGCGCTTTAAGCCCGTGATGAGGCCTCTGAGCACTAGGGAGCAGGCACGGTTCTCTTGTAAATGTGGTTTTCTGCCACAATTGGGACATAGGTCATTTGGACAGTAATACAGATTTCTAAGTAAAGTGTGATAAGAATGACGTTTACTAGCTTTCTGATCTCAGTTAATGTAACATTAAAAGTATGTTTCTTAGGGGTGCTTTGGTACTTTTCGTGAAGAGCATGAAGCTTGACCTTCTATGAATCTGCACTTGAAAAGGGTTTCATGTGCCAGGTAAAAAGGGAACTCACAATATTGGCAGTATTGTGGAGATCAAGGTTTTTTATGGACAGCAACCAAAAACAATCCTGCAAGTATATTGTACATCAAGAAAAAAACAGGTTCTTTTCAAAATAACCAAAGTCAGATTTGCTGTAAACTTCTCTTTGGCCCTAAATGCTGGAAGAAAAAGGAACAGTTGCTTCAGCATTTGGAGAGAAAGAAATTGACCCAAGATTCTTACTATTTAGCTAGATTGTCATTTCATACGTAAAAATAGCGGAAGATAATATAGATACCGGCTGGGCGCCGTGGCTCATACCTGTAATCCCAGCACTTTGGGAGGCTCAGGCGGGCGGTTCACAAGATTAGGAGTTCAAGACCAGCCTGGCCAACATAGTGAAACAAAAATACAAAAAAAGTTAGCTGAGTGTGGTGGTGGGCGCCTGTAATCCCAGCTACTCGGGAGGCTGAGGCAGGAGAATCACTTGAACTTGGGAGGTGGAGGCTGCAGTGAGCGGAGATCACACCACTGCATTCCAACCTGGGCGACAGTGCAGGACTCCGTCTCAAAAAAAAAAGAAAAAGAAATATAGATATCTAGATAACTAAGAAATCAATAAGCAAACATCAAAATGAAGCCCCAAACCTCAGGAAAGGCCGAGTGTGGGCCTGGGGTGAGCAGTATAGTAGCCACTCGCCCCACGTGGTGGTGGCACCGGAAAAGCAGTGAGTCCCAATTGAAATGTATTGGAGTATAAAATACACATCAGATTTCAAATACTATGTTGGAAAAGAAGAATATAAACTATCTCATTAGTAATTTTTGTGTTGATTACATGTTGAAATGATTTTGTATATTTCGCATTAAATAAAATTTATTGAAACTAATTTCACCTGTTCCTTTTTACTTTTAAAGTGAAACTGGTAAAAGACCTTAAATTACATATATGGCTTGCATACTTGTATTGGACAGCATTGGTATAGGTGAAATGAATGAATATTGATTATTGAAACTGATTAAGCATATAGAATTGAGTATAACTACAGAATTGAATGCAAAAGTCCTAAACTAGATCTAGAAAAAATAGTTTTGTTGAAGAATAACATAATAATAATAGATGGTAGGATTGAGGGAGTCAAGGAAAGTACAATCACATTAAAATCACATTTATTTAAAAATCTTTTCCTTCATTCTCTTTATGGTGTCTTTCAATGACAGTTTTAAATTTTAATCAAATCTCTCAATCTTTTCTCTTATGGTTAATGCTTTTTGCATCTTGATTAAGAAATCCTTCTCTATTCCAAGGTCAGAAAGATGTTTATTCTTTTCTAAAAAGTAATGCTTTGTTTTGACATGGACATGCTTAATCTACCTGGAGTTGATCTTCCTGTATTCTGTGGGACAGCATGTAGTTTCTTTTTTCTCTCCTCATATGGATAACTAATTTTCCTCCTCTCCACATTGATCTGCAATGCTATCTCTAGTGAGTATGAAAGTTCCATATGCTTGGAACTCTTTCTGTGTTCTCTGCCCCAGAGGTTCGCAAACTTTTTCTGTGAAAGGTCAGGTAGTAAATATCTTCAGCCATGAGAACCATATAATCTCTCTTGCCACTACTCAACTTTGTTATCGTAGTGTAAAAGCAACCACAGACAATATATACATGAGTGAGTGTAGCTGGTTTCCGGCAAGACTCTATTTATTTATGGATACCGAAATGTGAATTTTGTATAACTTTCATGTGCCACCAACTATTATTCCTTAACAGGTTTTTTTCCAACTATTTATAAGTATAAAAATCATTCTTAGCTCATGGGCTGTACAGAAATCCAGGTGGTGGGCTGGTCCACAGGCTATATATGCTTTTTACTGTTCCGCTCGTCCTGCACTGATACCACCCTGCTATAGCGACTGTCGCTTCATAACAAGGCCTCATGTCCGGTAGCAAAGCCCTGCCTTCTTATTCCTCTTCTTCAGCTGTGTTTTGGCAATTATTGGTCCTGTCCACTGCCATGTAAATATTATAACCTGTTTATTGAGTGCCATGAAAAACCCTCTTGGGATTTCAGTTGGATTATTTATGAACAAAACTCTCTCTTCATTTGTTTAGACTTTCTTTAAAGTCTTTTAGTGAATGTTTATGCTTTTATTTGTAAAGGTTGTTCATATCTTTTGTTAGATTTATATCTGGGTATTTGTGGTTTATTCTGCTGTTATAAGTACTGTATATGTACTTAAAATTGTTTTCTGGTTGTTTGTTGCTGGTAGATAGTAATGCTGTTGACTTACAACTAGTAGGTCAACAAACGCTTTGAAACTGTTTTGTTTTTTTTTTTTTTGAGACGGAGTTTCGCTCTTGTTACCCAGGCTGGAGTGCAATGGCGCCATCTCGGCTCACCGCAACCTCCACCTCCTGGGTTCAGGCAATTCTCCTGCCTCAGCCTCCTGAGTAGCTGGGATTACAGGCACGTGCCACCATGCCCAGCTAATTTTTTGTATCTTTAGTAGAGACGGGGTTTCACCATGTTGACCAGGATGGTTTCGATCTCTTGACCTCATGATCCACCCGCCTCGGCCTCCCAAAGTGCTGGGATTACAGGCTTGAGCCACCGCGCCCGGCTGAAACTGTTTTAAACATGTGTCTGTTGAGTCTTTTGTGTTTTCTTTGCTGTCATAGCAGCACACACCTAATAGCAAGGTGTGCTAGGCTCTGTTCTAAGATAGCTAATAAAATAGATAATAGTGAGATGTGAGCACTGCTGTTACCCATTTTGACACTGGGGCATGTGGAGGTTAAGGAACGTGTCTGGGGCTTTATGAATGGTGAGTGGCAGAGGCGAGTTTCAGGGCCAGGCAATCGCACCTAGAGTCCATGCCTGAGGCGAGATTCAGGGCCAGGCAGTCGCACCCAGAGTCCATGCCTTTAGCCCATGCTCCGCACCATTGTCTGTGTCATCTGCAAGTTCTGATGACTTCATTTCCTTTTTTTCCAGTCTTATCCAGTTAATTCCCTCTTACTGTTGCATTTCTGTGGCTTGGCCCTCTACTAGAGTAGAGTAGGAATGGTCATGGTGGGCAACCTTGTTTCCTTCTTAACCTGATTTTTTTGTTTTTGAGACGGGATCTCACTGTCATCCTGGCTGGAGTGCGGTGGTGCAATCATGGCTTACTGCCTCTTTGACTTCCTAGACTTAGATGATCGTTCCACCTCAGCCTCCCACGTAGCTGGGACTGCAGGTGAGTGCCGCTGTGCCTGGCTAAGATTTTGTAGATTTTCCCCCCACTGTGAGGCTTTGTTATTAATGGGTGTTAAATTTTACTAAATGCTATTTCTGTGTCAGTTGAGATGATTCTATTATATTCCTTAATTCACTATATGGCACTTGTAACTTTTCTCATAGGAAACAGTCCTTCCATTCTTGGGATAAATTTAACATTGTTATGATGTATTATTGTTATTTTTATCTACTGTTAAGAGTCTAGTTGCTAGTTAGTATTTTTCCATCTATATTCATGAATGGAATGAACCCATAATTTTCTTTTTCTTGTATGCTCCTTATATTTTTTTAGTACCAAGGTCAAGAACAAACTGAGGATATTCTTTGTTTTTATCTGTTCTGGAAGAGATTGTATGTGATTGGAATATATTTTTTGACAATTTGACAGTTTCACATGTAAAACCACCTGAGCTTGGTGTTTCTTTGTGGGAAATACTTAAACCATTGTTTTTATTTTTGTGTTAATTATGAGAGTATTCAGTCTTTTTTTTTTTGGTGAGACAGAGTCTTGCTCTGTCGCCCAGATTGGAGTACAGTGGCACAATCTTGGCTCACTGCAACCTCTGCCTCCTGGGTTCAAGCAATTCTGCCTCAGCCTCCTGAGCAGCTGGAATTACAGGCGTGTACCACCACACCCAGCTAATTTTTGAATTTTTAGTAGAGATGGGGTTTCACCATGTTGGCCAGGATGGTCTCGAACTCCTGACCTCAGGTGATCCGACCACCTTGGCCTCCCAAAGTACCGGGATTGTAGGCGTGAGCCACTGCACCTGGCTGAGAGTACTCAGACTTTTTAAAATTTGTTTTCAAGTCCATTTTGACTATCAGTTTTTTGAAAAATTTCATACTTACTGGAAAAAAGCTCTTGCTGGATCTCTTTAATATTTGCTGTTGTGCTTGCTTCGGCAGCACATATACTAAAATTGGAACAATACAGAGAAGATTAGCATGGCCCCTGCGCAAGGATGACACGCAAATATTTGCTCTATATGTGGTTTAGTTTTGTCCTTTTTTAAAAACCAATATTACTTAGGCATTTTTTAAAATCTGTTTTTCCAGAAATTTGCCTGTCTAAACCACTGGCTTTTGGCTTTCCTGTTCTTATTTTAATCTTTGTGTTTGTTTTCATTGATATCTCCAGTTTTATTTAATTTTCTTCCTTCTTTACTGTTTTTCTTTTTAAATTTATTAAGTTGGACACCTAAGTTACTGGTTTTTATTTAGCCTTTAAAAAATCTCCTAATGTAGCCGGGCATGAGGTTGAGATGGGCGGATCACAAGGTCAAGAGATTGAGACCATCCTGGCCAACAAGGTACAACCCCTTCTCTACTAAAAATACAAAAAAAATTAGCTGGGCGTGGTGGCATGCGCCTGTAGTCCCAGCTACTCGGGAGGCTGAGGCAGGAGAATTGCTTGAACCCGGGAGGCAGAGGTTGTAGTGAGCTGAGATCACGCCACTGCACTCCAGCCTGGTGCCTGGTGACAGAGGGAGACTCTGTCTCAAAAAAAAAAAAAAAAATCTCCTAATGTAAACTCGTTTATGACTACAAAGTCTCATGTTTTAAAAGTTAGCATCCATTCGTCACCGGCCATCTGGCACCTGCCATGTGCTAGGCACTGTTCTCGACATTCAGTCAGAAACGGATGACAAGGTTAACAACAGTCTTTTTGGCAGCTGTTGAGATATTGATACATTAATAGAATTCCTAACGTTGGACAGTTCTCACACTCAAGTAACCTTTGCTTCGTCATCATCTATTACCTACCCAATATAAAACTATATTTAATTTGCTGACATTTAAAAATAGAATTTCATATCTTTATTAAAGTGGAATTGGCCTGGCATTTGAGAGAGAGAGAGAGAGAGAGAGAGTGTTTGTGTGTGTGTGTGTGTGTGTGTGTGTGTGAGAGAGAGAGAGAGTGTTTGTGTGTGTGTGTGTGTGTGTGTGTGTGTGTGTGTGTGTGTGTTTGAGAATCAAGGTTATGTCTATTTTATTTTATTTTATTTTATTTTATTTTATTTTGAGACGGAGTTTCGCTCTTGTTACCCAGGCTGGAGTGCAGTGGCGCGATCTCGGCTCACCGCAACCTCTGCCTCCTGGGTTCAGGCAATTCTCCTGCCTCGGCCTCCTGAGTAGCTGAGATTACAGGCACGTGCCACCACGCCCAGCTAATTTTTTGTATTTTTAGTAGAGACGGGGTTTCACTATGTTGACCAGGATGGTCTCGATCTCTTGACCTCGTGATCCACCCGCCTCGGCCTCCCAAAGTGCTGAGATTACAGGCTTGAGCCACCGCGCCCGGCTTGTCCATTTTATAAAATTAATTTGGGACCCCATGTCTTTTCCGGAGCTCTAGAATAGTTTATGTCTGATGAGTGATCTGGGTTTTGAGGGATGAGGGAAACTTGAGGGTGGGCACTTTCTCCCTAGCTTGGTCAGAAGCTGGGATTTCCCCAGTGAGATAGGGGCAGTGCTGTTACCCATTTTGAAACTGGGGCATCCGGAGGTTGAGGAATGTGTTTGGGGCTGTATGAGTGGTGGGTGGCAGAGGCAAGATTCAAGCCTAGGCAAAACCAGTGAGGGTTGCATCCACATTCCAGAAACGTTAAAGTTTCTTTGGGGCATGCAGATGGGGCTGGATTGGAAAAAGGCCTGTAGGGCCCACTGAACCCCACTGATACCCCAGGCCCCAGGCTGCTGGGTCAGAAGCTTCCTACCCACCAGCAACTTGCAAACCCAAACCACGAGGCACTCGAGCGGTTTCGTGGTCGGTCGTTGCTGACTAGTACCAGGTTGCTTCTGCTCTTCCCTTGGTGGGAGGTGGGTCAGGGGTTCTACCCTGTGTCGGCCTCGGCGGAACCCCAGACTTGTTCTTGTTTCCTGTCGGCTCACTCTTTGGTGGTCCGTGCATCGTGGGGGGCCTGTTTTCCTGCAGTCCAAAGTTACCTGGAGGCCAGCTGCTGGTCTCTCGGGCCAGGCAGCCCCCACCCCATTCAAATCCCTGCCCACAAGTCTCCTCTTCAGAGAGGCCTCTCCTGTCCACCCAGCTGCGTGGGGCCTCAGCCGCACACTCCCCACCTCTGACCCCCACTTCGCTTTCCTCACAGCATCGGTCACTGACTGAGACCTTGCAGCTGACTTTGGGGCTGGCTGTGAGGATGCTGGTGGAGGGCAGGTGAGGCGTGCCAGCCTCAGCAGAGCTCCTCATTCTGTCTGCCGTGGCAGCCATGGACACTTGTTTGCATGAAGGTGGCAGTGTGGGGCCATTGCTTGGCGATTTGGAACCTCATCGTCCTGTATGTGAATTTTCCTTTGCTCATCCAGTCCTTAGACGTCAATGAATTCTGTGACATTTGTTTTCTGCCGAGGACCTCTCACTTCATGGTCACTTCCTGCTGCAGGGTTAGACCCCTGCTCCCATGCCAGCCATTCACTTCAGTGGGTCTCATGTTGCCCAGTAACTGCGTGTTATGTTTGGTATTTTTGGAACAATTAAGTATGTTCAGAATTTAGAAGGCAAAATACAAAACTGGAGCCAGAATGATAAGGAAGTACTGTAGCAATAGGTTCAAAAGAAAATGATTAATATTTTAGTAAGACATTTAAAATAGCAAATCTAATTAGTACAGAGATGGAAATAAAAAACAAAATAATTGAGCAATACCCTCCTTCACTGGCCATTCTCAGTGTTGATGGAGAAAGACAATTTCAAAGTCAGTTTTTAAACTTAGGTTCTTTTGTTGCTGCTGCCTATGACATGAGAAGTGATTCTAAAATGTACAGAAAGTGAACTTGATAACCTTGTGCCCTTTGACATTTGCTTGGAGGTTCATCTGCTCAGAGACCTCTATGTATTAGAAGCATCCAGAGAGTGTTTGTGAAATACTGGTGCCCCCTCTTCTCTCCGTTAGGGTCTGTCTCTGGGCAGGTGCTGGTGCTGGTCATGTAAAATTGCTCCCCAGGTGACTTCATGTGCAGCTGGCTCCCTACGGGTGCCTTCCAGCTTCTCAGAGGGCCCCTCCGAGCCCTGCGGGAACCAGGTAGAGAAGCTGCTTACCTGCGCCCTTTGGTTCCTATGCACAACAGTTGATCCTGTTACACCCAGAAAATACGGTATCTACATGCACAGGAAGGGAAGGACGTCTCCCCCGGGGTCCCTGAGTGGCGGGAGTGTCTCTTGGACGTGGCTAATTTGAACAGGACTTGCGGGCTTGTTTCCGGGCTGTGGTGGCAGAAGCAGATCCTGCTCTTCCTGAGCGCAGCCTCCTGGCCCCAAGGTGAGATGATCCTGACAGTATTTTAAAGGAAATGGCTGCATTATACCTTTTAGTCTTTGAACTTCTGAAAAATTAAAAAACCAAAAACACTGTTGTAAAGAGATGAGAGGAATGTAAGAAAATCAGATAAAGCCCATTAATACCCCTGCTTTCCGTGACGGTGTATGAGTTGCTGTTTAAGTGTGAGTGCAGTAGCCATAAAACAAGGGTGGAGAGCAAGGATCCTTCTACAGACAAGTATCTTCTGTGGAGAATTAAGTTCTTTTGCGTGCTTGAAACCAGTTCTTCCGGATCTCTATTGAGTCTGACTCATTCGTTTTGGTTTTCTGAGGATACTCTCATCATCTGTCCTATTTACAAAATAGCAACTATTTTTCTTGCCACAGTGACGAGACTTGGTAGGATGCTTGGTTTTTTTTTTTTTTTTTTTCCTTTTCCTGGAATTCTGTTTCCATGGAAGTCCTGGGTCAGCTAGGGTAGCTCGAACCTAAGTTTCTCTTTCCCTTCTCAGAATCCCAGTGAAGTGAATGGAACATAAAAACGAGACAAAACCAGTGAGGGTTGCATCCACATTCCAGAAACTTTAAAAAGTTCCTTTGGGGCATGCAGAGGGAGCTGGATTGGAATAAGGCCTCTAGGGGCCACTGAACCCCAATGACACCCTTGGAAGGCCATGGGCAGGGTGAGGGTGGGATGCTCTTCGGTTCTTTTTCCCTGCTGTGGCTCAGTGGCATTTGGAAGTGGGGCCTGAGGAGCTCCCAGGTTCAGGCAGGCTTGGTTCCTAGCTGGAAGCCAGGAAGGTGCGGGCTGTCTGTGCCTGTGAGCAGCACTGTGTGGAAGGATGCTGGCCAGGGGCTCCTCTAGGCACTGAAGAGAGATGGGCGGAAGTTCCCTTGCAGACACCACCCTGATGGGCGGCAGCCCTGCATTTGTCCCTGATGAGATCCTTGATAATGGGCGTAAACATTCGTTTGCACCACTGTTCCAGGTTGTGAGCAGACAGAGGGTTCACAAAGCACCACGTATGTGGGTGCCCCTCCTGCCATCTGTAAGCAGAACTGACAGGGACTTTTGAGGAGAGCTCCTTGTGGGTGTAGGGTGTGATTCTTTTGTAAATGTGTGCATCATGCTCTATGAATTTTAAAAATACCAATAATTAAGCAAAAAACGAATGAGAGGAAGACAGGCTGCGAAGCAAAGGGGCTGGAGGGAGGGAAGCCATAGATGGGGAGGAGGTGTGCGCCGAGTCAAGGAGCAGTTGTCATGGAAGCACACAGATGTAACGATCGGAGCAAAGTATATACCTAAAGCCATAGAGCAGCAGGATCGGTACCGCAGAATAAGCAACCAGTGATGTTTGGGGCAAACCTTAGAAGCCTTCCCAGAATATCAAGGAGGAAACACCAAAGCCATGCGGAGGTGTGAAAAAGGAGCTGACAGAAAGGGGACAGAGAGCCCAGATGTGGTGGTTGGCGTTCGTAAAGAGAATATGAGAACAGGTGGCACAGATGCCACTGCGGTTCTCCTGCACAGAAGACCTGAGTATGCAGACAGGAAGACACTCCCTTAGAGTCAGCTAAAAAGTGCCAGTAGGGTACTGAGACACATCCTGGTGGAATCGGTGACTGCCAAGGATAAGAGAAGAACGCTACAGGCCGGGCGCCGTGGCTCATGCTTATAATCTCAGCACTTTGGGGGGCCAAGGTGGGCGGATCATGAG